TTTTTGTGCCATTTTCAGTAAATTATAATTTAAACTTTAGAGCTCAGCTGAGGGTATTCTCAGTTAATCCAATTCCTTCAGCTTCAAAAAAGTAACAATTCATTGTGCTCTTCCAGAACACTGTAAGTCTCTGTTATCTGAGAGATATGCTGCTCATATGTGAGCATGCAGTGAGCTCGGGGAGAAACCCTGGCCTTTCCAAGGCCAATTAGCTCTTTAGAGAAAAGACTGGCAGGATCTGTCATGCACTTTACCAATCTAATCACTAAACCACCACATGTTGTTAACACAAGTATTTTGTCTGCCTTGATATCAAAGGGTCCCAAGTATGATGAATACTTTTACAGACAGACTTATAAATGGAGGTAGAGCTGAGGGCACAACGTTCTCATGAGGATACTCTCCTTGCTGTAACTTTTGCGCTTTCTTCAGGCCTTCAACAATTGAAATACTCAGAGCCCTAAGACAGGAGGACATGTGCTGATCTGTAGAGCTTCACTTCAAGGTCTTTCAAGCTGTTCAGTGGAATAGTAAAGATTTAAAACTTTGTAGCTCTTCTGCTCCAACATCTGACCCCAAATACTTGGTCCCCTGGATACAAAGGACCCTTTAGTTGAGCCTCCAGACAGCCTGAAGCCACATCATCAGTGCCTTCAACACCCGAATTTCAGTTTGGGCATCTAGCCCTAGCTGCTACCACCTCAGGATGGGGAGACCTACTTCCAGACACATGCACAGAGAGGCAGGACTGAATTGAGAGCAGATACGCCTACATGCAGGGATCTGGCAGTTTGTTTTTATGTAACTGTCTGGTGCTTCTGTCTATTTGAAGCATCATTTGTTTATATTCTCCTTCAGCAAGAAAGAAGATAAGAGAGTTTGAAGGTTTGGTTGGTTGTTTGTTTTTTTTTAAGTTTAAGAACAAACCTCAAGATTTTACAAAAGCCTGCAGAAGTTAAGATTTCACTCAAGGTGCTACTTGAAAATCTATTTCTGTTCAAAATCAAAGATCCATTTACTCTTTACTTTACAGGAAAATGAAACTAAGTTGCAGGCCATAAGACACTCCCCCCCACCCCATCACCATTTGAAATGTAGGGAAAAAAAATGGATTTTTTTTTTTTCTCTGTTTCCTGTCCACAGAAGGGCTAGGAAGAGGATAAAAAAGTTCCCCTGCCACTTGGAGATAATGCCTGCCAGAGACATTTCCTTTGCTTTACACACAAACTTTCCCGATGGCTCACTTTGGCTGGACACTTTCAGCTGGGATTACCCAGGCAAGGCAGCCTGACACCAAAGGTTAAGCTAAAGCAAGGATGTATATTTACCATACAGATTGTGTTAGAGACATGTGAGGTAGAGTACATGAAACTAGCCTTGGATCACCCTATGCTGGCCAGCAAGCCTCTCTAACAAGCACAACCTGAACCCCCCCACTCTGCTATTTAAAGACGTAAGTGGAAACTAGTTTAGGTACATTAGGAACAATCCCAAAGCAACTTCAGACCCAGCTGTGAGCACAAATAACCTCAATCCCACATGAACAAAGGGAACACTTACCACCTCCATCATCCTGATGATATTTGTACCTCAAGCCTAGCCCCAGGTGTCTTATCCAGTGGGAAAAAGGAATATATGCTTCAAGGGGGACAAAGCAGAATAATAGGCTTTTATTTGCCTAATTAATATTAAGAAAGTGGAAAATCCCTCTAAAAGGATAGATCATGGGTAACCTGGTGAGGAAAGATTCAGTCGGCCTAGTGTATACCTGGTATAATGGTGTTCAACATGTCTTAGGAGAATTGCAGTGTAGTGCTGCTTTCTTTTCTACTCTGTCTACTATTTAGTATGATTTCCATGGAGAAAAATATTTATTTTTACTTGCCTCCAAAATATGAACATGGTCTACAAAGCAGGTACCACTTCTCACCCCTCACTAAGTACTGGGTTATGAACATGGTGTTATTTGGACTATCTTGAATTAATTTCTTTCAGGACTTTAGTTTCTGCAGAAGTGGTGGTGATCATCTTCATTAGCAGACTGAAGAAGCATTCCCAGAAAGCTCTTTGTACCACATCCCTCAGAACTTTACAGTTTCTGGATCCTGAACAAGTTTAAGTGGGAGATACATGCCTAGGTGCTCAGCTTTGCCATGGTGTTTCCAGGATCCAAGTCTGAGTATCTGTGGAACTTCAAAAGCCAGGTGTCAGAAGGCATTTGAGAAACTATTTTTTTATGTGACAGCTAAGCAGAGTCCGTTCATTTTTTAGTATACAGGTTTTAGTCAGAGGTTTTAGTATGCTGAACTTTGAACTAACTCCCCTGAAGTGAGTAATACAGTCTGTCAGGGTTTTTTTTAAGCCCGTAGCTAGCCACTGCTTACATTCATTTAGGCTCTTGTTTTTTGTCGTGAGATCAATTACACTATGACTTGTATATGCCCCTGGAGTCGTTCCCCCTTGCAGAGGGCTTTCCTGCTGCCCTTTTGTAGGATCTCTAGCAAATGAAAGGGTTCTGCTGAGCTGGGTCTCTCTGTTGGCTGCTGTATTTGGGTTCAGGAAATTCTGATCCTCTCTGGTTGCGCTGTCATGTTGTGCATGGTGATGAATGGATTCAATTGTTCCGTTTTAACAGATACGTTTAATAATCTGGTTTCTCTAAACAGCTTCACACACTGAAAGGATGAGATACGATGTGAGATAGTGGTGAAGGGATTACTGCGGGTACGATGGCCTGCTGATGGGGTGATAAGTTATCCATCTATAGGTTGTAGATGATCCTCATCACTGCAATTCAGGTGGAAGAGGGAGTGATCTAAGGTGTCACGGTTCTGTTCTGCCTTGGCCATGACACACAGCCTTTATAATCACGCTATTTGTAACTTTTTATATTCCTCATTTACATATCAAGTGTCGGCTCCCCCCACCCCCATTAATGATGGCAGCTAACAGAACATTTTACTACATTCTCGCCTCCACTTCTTCAAAAGACTATAATTTGACGTTTGAAATCCTCCACGGCAGAAGATAAGAATGCAACCATCTTGCAGACAAGTCAAAGGGCTTGCTCCTCTCTCCTTCCCCAAAGTAGGGATGCCTCTTTGGTTAGATCTGTGCCTCTGGAGCATGCTTGGAAACACTTGTACGTGGTGCTCTACATTTATATTTTGCAGGTCTAGTGAATTTATCGCCACCAGTCTGAAAGAATCTACAATCTGT